AGAGGGAGAGAGAGAGGGAGAGAGGGAGAGAGAGTGAGAGGGAGAGAGAGAGGGAGAGAGGGAGAGAGAAAGGGAGAGAGAGAGGGAGAGAGGGAGAGGGATAGAGATAGATTGATTTTTTTCCTTCACAGAACAAATCCATCCCAATATCCCAAAGCTTGCCCAGGAACTGTAACCTGTGCCACACATAGCCCCAAGAGAAGCTTAATGCTTAGGCTTAAACAAAGATTCATTCCTTCTATAGTAAGTATGGCTGAAATTTAAAACAGCATGGGGCTCCTTGAATTGTAAAAGAAAATTACTAAGACCAAGAAGAATATAGTTGTGATGAGCAAACGAAGATTATTGTCCTCTGGTTGGCTACAGCCTGCTATACAGTAGTCTCTGGGCTTCTTACTTCTTGGGTTCTAGTCTACTCCTACATGCTTGATATTATTCCAGGTGAGTATCTAAACAAAATAATTTCTCTGTTCATGGTTCTATGAGTTTTCCTTTCCAGCCTTGTTTTTGGTCTAGTGCCAGGGCTGGGGGGCAGTGAGTGAGTAGAAGAGACAAGAGAGGATGAATCCAGGGGTCACCAGGTTTAAAGACCTGGTGTTGATCCACCAACTCTTTTAGAAGCACCCTAGGGAGAAAAAACAGTGGTACCTCTGCTGTTAGGAGGAAGATTTCATCTGGGATGTGTCGGATCCCACCAGCGATGACACCCAGTGCTACCCCAGGGAACACATAGGCATTGTTTCCCTGACCAGGAGTGAATGTCCTGCCATCTTCCAGAGTCACACTCTTAAAAGGACTTCCACTGGCAAATATTCCTCGGCCCTGGAGGCAGGAAGAAAAGAAGAGCTGGAAAATGGAGTCAGGTTTGCAGTAGTCACGGGAGTCTATTCTTGTCTCTTAAATATGGGTCCATCTCCATTCTCCCCTAAGTGTCCAGAACTGTAGCGAGAACTTGGTAAATCCTCTAAGAACAATTCATTTATTTGACCAGAAAGCTAAGCCCCTTTAAGTTACTGACAGTGGAGGTCGTAGTGCCTCTTTCCCCCAACACTTGGAAGGGCCAAGTCAGGACAATTGCCTAGAGAATATGCCATGGTTCTGGACAAAGCTCTACTGTTTGGGGGAACATTGAGAAGTGCAGTATCATGGGAAGAGCTTTGGCTTTGGAGTTAGATCTAGGCTTTAGAGACAGCTGTATTCTTTATTAGCCTGATGATCTTTGGAAAGTCGATTCATCTTTCTTTCTTTTTTTTTTTTTAAATTTTAAACATTTTTTTGTTGGTTATTTTATTTATTTACATTTCAAATGTTATCCCCCTTCCTGGTTTCCCCTCCAACCCCCCACCTGCTTCTGTGAGGGTATTCTCCCATCCATATACCCACTCCTGCCTCACTGCCCCAGCATTCCCCTACACTGGGGCATCGAGCCTTCCCAGGACCAAGGGCCTCCCCTCCTAGTGATCCCAGACAAGGCCATCATCTGTTACATATGCAGCTGAAGCCATGGGTCCCTCCATGTGTTCTCTTCATCTTTCTAAACCTCAGCTTGCTTACTCTGACAGTGCACTCTTTGTCACCCATATAGGGTTTCTGGTAGTAACTGTAACTACTTTCTCTCAGCTGGTGGGAGAAAGGACTCCCCGCTGACCTCGGTGACCCGGTAGCACTTCTCAGCTGTGCACTCAGCCTTGCTGGTGGGGTTGCTCAGGGCAAAGATGATAGGGCGCTCATGGAAGGAGGCCATGTCCCTCAGAATCTGCTCCGTGAAGGCTCCTGCGATGGCAGCGACACCTACAGGGAAAAGGGGGCGGGGTAGTAGGGAACGCCTACTGGGTATAAATATCCCATTTCTCTTCTTGTGGTACCAGTGAGGGAACTAGATACCCATGACAGACTTGGGAATCTTGGGGATAAAATCTGCTACGAGGGAACAGAAGGGAAAAGAATCCTGTTGCGTGAGTTAGTTAAGACCTCTTATTCATTCCACGGAGACCACTGGTTTGTTTTAGGTCTCTGATCTGTAAGGTGTTCCTTAAAGGCATTCCTGAGTGTTGCTGAGAGCAGAGTGTTCCTCTAGTACAGAGACGGGTGCCAGGGTCCCCTGTCTTGGGGTGGAAGGAGAGCTCACCTTCATGCTACAGAGCAACGCTGTCCTTTCCTACCGTATTACATCATTCTGTGTCAACAAGATGCAACTCTGGGCCTTCATTTCTGTAGTTTGTATACAGAAGTCACTCAATAAAAATTTACGGCATTGAGCCAGACATGGAAGAGGGGAAACAGCTGTGCTTCTATAGGTTGTATCCCTGAGCCTCAGACTCCATCTGCAAGTCAGGAGGGTTAGCTGGGCTAGGTAGCAGGGCCCCTCTTCTTCTTCCTACCTATAATTGCTGTGGGCTTCACCAGCCTTACTACTTCCTCCAGGGAGCTGACTTCAGGGTGGTCTTGGGCAAACATCTCCTTCTCATGGTTTAGGTGGCTTCTACCCTGTAGGAAAAGAAGAAAGATGGAGTAGGTAGAATGTTGAAGGCCTATTGAACAGGTCCTTGATGTTAGGATTCTGACAGTGTTTCAGATTGAGCCTCATGATTTGATCTGAGCCTGCAGAACAGTGAGGCCCCCTTTATCAGATTTCCCAGTAGAACCTAAGGTGAACCCTAAGGAAATGCATTTCATTTTAAAAAATATTTTTCATTTTAACTGCACAATTGTTTTTGGCTGCTTGTGTTTGTGCTCCATGTGGATGCAATGTCCATGAGGGCTATAAGAGAGCACCAGGTCCTGTGTAACTGAACTTACAAACAGTTGTTAGCCACCATGTGTGTGCTGGGAATCAAACCAAATTAAATCTGGGTCCCCTAAAAGAGTAAACAAGTATTCTTAACATCTGAGCCATCTCCCCAGCCACACAGAAGAAGAATTGATACATCGTCTTTAATTTTCCTTTTTAGCTGTTGTGGGTCATGGCTTCCTGGGTGAGCATAGAAAGACTCCTAGGAAATTTCCTGGCCTCAATGAATCCCTTGACCATAAGAAGTACAGCCTACAGGTTCACAGAAGGACAGGGGCTCGAGACTTCCAGAGATCTAATGTGACTGGATTTAATAGGACCCCCTAGTCTTCCTGTGAGTCTCTGTAAGCTGAGTTTAGGATAGGTTGGTCATAACATCTCTTCAAGAAGCCTTGTAGTGACAGACTAGCCTAAGTTCTGGTAATGAGTTCAATCATTTCTGACTTCCTCAGATGGCTTCCTGAGTACCAGAGTGATGGTGTCAAGCTTATAGCTCCTTGATTAGAAGTCATTTCAATAGAGTGCATAAGATGGTGGAAAAATGCACATGTGAGTAGGAAGAGTCACCAGTGTCTGGTAACCTATTCAGAGACCATTCTCTGGGATGTTGGGGGGATGGGAAGATGTATCTCTAGATGTGCAAGTAAGTAAGAAGGGCCATCGGTGTCTGATACCCTGCTCAGAGACCATTCTCTGTCATGATGGGGGGAAGATGTATCTCTAGGTCAAAGATCCCTTACAGTGGTTGGGCTGTGCAAAGTTGAGGAAGAGAGAGAGCATATGTCTTTTAGAGGACTATGATTCAGTATGACTGAGACTAATGCAAGAGAAGGCCTGGCAGGAGAAAAGGCCGAAAGGGGTACTCATGTACCCATACATGTGGGCACATACACACACATGCACATACACACATGCACATTTATCACATACATACACATACACACACAGGCAAATGCACATGCACAGACAATCCACACACACATGCACACACACAGTATCATTGGACCGTATCAATCTAGTTCTCACTCCTCTTGTTTTTCCTCCTCTTGTTCCTCCTCTTCCTCCTCCTCCTCTTCCTTCTCTTATTCTTTCTTTGAGATAGGGTTTCTCTGTGTAGCTCTGGCTGTCCTGGAACTTTCTCTGAAGACTAAGATGGCCTCAAACTCAGAGATCCACTGGTGCTGGGATTAGAGGCATGTACTACCATGTTCAGCTGGAGAACTCTTTCAGTTTAGTTCTTGGCAGCTCTGGGTGTCACAAAACCTTTGGTTTTTCAGACTAAACAGTACCTTGACAATCAGACCCTTGGAGTCCACCATCCAGATCTTCCTTATGGCCTCTGTTTTGGGTATGCCTTCCTTTTCCAGGGCCATGACAAGGAGGTGGGCGATGCCCATGGCTGCCTGGGGGATGGGTAGCATAAGGACAATGTTTAGACTCAGAACACATAGTTGTTTAGCACATACTAGGTGTTTCAGCAAAATGAGCCTTTTTCCCCCCCTCAGCCCCACAACTCATAGATGGCCCAGTTAAATTCTTACTTTGAGAAACTCAAATATTGAGACTCAAAACGCTGCAATGATCAGCATACACTCATTTTGCTTCTTGTCAGAATCCCAGTCTGCCTCTCCCTGGGAAGACTACCCCACCCATTCTTACTCTTCTTGGTACAACTGCCATAGAGCCCTTCCAATGGCACTTACCTCTCCCGCACCCTGGAAAACGAACACATGGTTGGACAGCCTGTTCTTGGTGATTCTCAGAGCGGCCAGGATCCCTGCCACAGCAACAGAGGCTGTGCCTGCAACAGAGTGAATGGTATCAGCCTGTAGTCTCTAGCCTTCATTCCCCAAGAAAAGACTCTTGACAGGGCTCCCAACATCCAGGACCTGTGGGAGAAGAAGCAACTTTTCTTTCCGTTTTTTGGGTGGGTGGGGACAGGGTTTACCTATGTAGCTTTGGCTGTCTCGAAACTTACTCTGTAGACCAGGCTGGCCTCAAACTTACAAAGATCCACCTGCCTCTGCCTCCCAAGTGCTGCGATTAAAGGGATGTGCCACTGCCGCTTGGCTAAAGCAACTTTTCTTAACTCTTAAAGAAGTTATATCTGCAGGCATGTGTGATTAAGGACAAATCAATTCTATCTCTTACCTTCTACTGTAAGTAACTGTTTAAGAAATAGTCCCTAGAATTGTTACTTGTCTGTGTGAGAGACATACAGCTATCCAGGAGCTGCTACTGTGATTATTAACAAATGCAGTAACAGGATAGATGCAACTAACAGATGCCAAAAAATGAAATGCAATCCCTGTATACGGGGGCATACATGAAATTCTGAGTGAATGTGTATGGCTGACACAGGCACAGCCATGTCAAGGACCTCAGTACCTTAGGTCCATGGGAAATGACAAAGCCTTCCCCTGGTCTGTGTGGAAATGTTGATAGAATACAGAAAATATCTACTGCAGCTTCCTCATCCCTGATATTTACAGCCTGAGATTCTTAGCCATAGAGACCTCCTACAGAGACTAGCTAATCCCCCCTCCTGTGCTGTACAGAATAAGCAGGCAATCTTGTTTACTGTGTAGTCCCAGTGACTTCCATCATAGTGAGTACAGTGTACCAGATCCCAGCTTCTCTATATGAGTGTCTATTATTCCTTCACAGTCTGCCATTTCTTCATTCCTGTTGGCATCCTAGGCAGGTTTTCATGACCAAGTCACACAGGACATGCACCCATAAAATGGTTCGTTTAAGGGATAAAGGCATTTGAAAATAAGACATGGTGAAACCACGGGAGACCAGTTGTTTTTGTGTCATGAGCTGCCCATCTTACCCACCACATCATAAGACTGAATGATAATGATATATAACATATGATCTGACTTAGCAAACAATACGTTGTGCCCTTTCTCTCAAAGGAAGAACACATGGGCATCTCAAAATTCTACCAGATAACTCACTTACAGAATTATGCTTTCTGTGGCTTCAAACTTTTGCCCTGCCTGATTAGAGGCCTTAACTCCCAGGAGAGAAAAAACATCCATTAGGAATCATAGCAAGTCTATTCAATTGATGTTTGAGACCACAACTTGGAGATTGAGATTCTCTCGGTGAGTAAAGAAGACTCTCATTTCTCTGACTATAGGGACATCCTCTGGGGGTATCTTGATATTTCCATGCTTGTTCATAAATATCAATGAACATGACAACTAAAGACAGGCAGAGCTATTGAAGATCCAGGGCCTTCAAAAATGCAGGGTTCTGCCACATTACTGGGTGAAGAACACTGGTTAGATAAAGTTTTATCTGAGGACAAGAAAACATGGAATGGTTGAGGAAGAAATTTATGAGCACTGGGAGACATGACTGGCCAGAGAAACCAGCAAGCAGGCATGCATCGCTCTCTCTTGGTTATATGACAATAATGGAAGGGGTTGGATGATTCTTTCTCCCTTCTTTTCACCCTAATCATTTAATAAAGTATTGGAAGGTAATTCAATACTTTAATTATGGAGTAACAGGGTTTTCAACTGTGGCCAGATCTGAAGAACAAGTTAATTCTTCCTAGCAATGCTTTGTGCAACTCTCTTGCACTAACTTATGACTGTCAAGACTTGTCTCTTCTCATTTGGGGGAGTGAGTGGGACAGTTTTCATTTATTGGAAAATTCTGTTTTGTTAGAGTTGCTTTTGTCATCTGGAAGTACAAAGATATGGACTTATGTGCATGTAAACGAGAGAGAGGGTGACTGTACCAATTAACACATTACTTTGGAACCACCAACTGGTTCTATGGAGGGGTCTGCCAGAAAAATGTACTACAGAGCAACCAGAAGGCTACAAGAAAGAAAAGACGGTTTCCAGAGTCACTTTCATCATATAGATCCCAGGTAAAAAGGAGAACATTGAATAACATCTGAATTTTAGATAAAATAATTTTGTATGGGTTATCCTATGAACCATTAGCACACTTTTAAGAAGTATTATGTATTTGACATTGGAATTTAAAAGATAGTTCTGGTTTTGCTAGGTCAGACAACCCCACAGACTTGATCCTTCACTTCCGTAGTGGCAGTTGAACCCCTTTGCAATAATCATCCATCTATCATTTAGAGCACTAATTTCACAGTCTCCTGGTCAGCACCAGCCAGCTGCCTCCCCTTCTCTTTTGTTCCTCAACCTGGAGGTGGAGGAGCAGAGTTTTATTGTTTTTTGTTTTGTTTTGTTTTTTTCTTCCTGTTTTCAACTCTCCAATACACAATTAATATTTTTTATGTTGAATGTTTTCTGGTACAGTTCCTGCCTGATACTGAGGGCTCACAATAAAACTGTAACTATGGTGTCAATGTTAAGCCTCCATGGTGTGGTCAAAGGAAAGGAGATTAAAGTAGGACTGTTTATGGTTTGTGCCATTTTAACTGGTTAGAAAACAAAAATGAAGCTATCTGTGACTGGTGACAGATGGAGCAATGGAAAGCGGGAGGTTCCAGAATTCTTTTTAATTTTTAGGAGCAACTTTTTTTTTCTTTTAGACAATGGTTTCCCCATATAAATCCAGGGCATAAAAATGTTTTAAACCTTATACTTCTACTTTAGAAAATCGATGCATGGGAATCTCTGAAATATATGCATTAGAACATTTGGGACAGTGTTATTTGTAATACACAGTGATTGGAAATAATCTAAACATCTAACAAATGAAAGATAATTTGAGAAATTAACTAGGATAGACACTCAGAAGAATACTTTCAATGATTAAAATTGACCACCATAGGGGGTGGGAGAGATGGGTAGGCAGTTGAGAGTACTAGCTGCTCCCCCAGTGGTCCTGAGTTCAATTCCCAGCAACCACATGGTGGCTCACAACCATTTGTATTGGGATCTGATTCCTGTTTCTGCTGTGCATGAAGACAGAGTGCTCATATAATTTATTCATGAATAAATAAATTTTAAAAATGATCACCACAGGGCTGGGGAGATGGCCCAGTCTGTGAGGTGCTTACTGCTCATGAATGAGGACCTGGGTTTGGTTGGGTCCTAAGCACCCGTGTGTAAGCTGGACATGGTAGTGTGTTTCTGTAAGCACAAAATGGATTCAGTAGGATCCTAGAGGCTCACGGTGAGCTACTCTAGCTGAAATGGTAAACACCATGTTAAACATGACACTGTGTCTCAAAGAATAAAGGTGGAACACGAAAGAAGAATGGACTCAGTGTCCACCTCCGGCCCCCACACTGGCGTGCATGGGAGCACACACCTGCACACACTCCATACACATCATTTTTTTTAAGAGTTTTGTGAAGATTGCAAAACGACCTAGGAAACACTATGAATAAGTAACTAACACACACATCTCTAAAGCTGTCTGGATTTTATGTGTGCTCACTCAAATGCTAACACACACTGGTGGGGATGGCTTCTCCCACCAAGGTACCAGTTCTTTGTCATTTGGAATCAGAGCTTTCTGCTCTGTAGAACACTTTCTGCTTTCAGGGAGTCTGTTTGCAAATCATGCGCCAGTAGATGGCACCAAAGATATTTCATGGTAGATGTCTCCTGGGCTAGACAGGCTTTCGGTTTGGTTTTCTGTTTTTGCTTATCAGATATCTTTTGAGGTTAGAACCTGAGAGTTGAATAACTGAACTTATTGGCAGGACTTCGTGCGGGAGGAGGTTGGTGATTTTGACCTCCTATACTTATACAGAGGATACCGACCCAGAAGAGAAAGTAGATTGGTCTACTCCGTGGTCTAGAAGAAAAACTGGACCATAGCCTTTCCTGGAGGCAGCAGCAACAGGGGAATATGACCCTCCCCCAGTGTTGGGGATAAAGTCAAGCAGCCACACCTGGTTTTTTACATGGGTGGTGGGGATTTGAACTCAGGTCTCCAAATCTGCACAGCAATTGAGCCTCTTCCTAAGTCCTATCAATTAGTCTTATGATAGTGAATTTGGCTGTGTGCTACTTTCTTATCAGCCCCCACCACTTTAATCTTCATTAGGAACTCTACCGAGTCAGCGTTTTGGTGTTCCCTCTATTGAGGTTTTTAGTTTTTCACTCTCTGTTAGGAAAGTGAGGCTCAAAGGAAATAGAAGCAGTCATGAAAAGCTAAAGTGGCAGTGGCCACCCACTCCATTTGAACGTATAAAGAAGAATGCAACATTTCCCCAGAAGCTGTGAGTCTTCTCACCAGGTCTCCAGACCCGCTGCCTCATTCCACAGCATTTGCGACCCCTGCAGAGATCATGGAGGTCCTAGGCAAAGCTACCTCCTGTACTGTAGCTCCTTCTCACGGACCCCTGAGATTTGTTCTCCAATTCTCTCCTCTGTTCTTCATCCTCAGTGTCTCCCTCTCTGCTGGATTCATCCCCATGAGTGGGTAAACACACTGTAAAACTTCGATTTTTTTTTAAAAGAGCCTCGCCCTTGTAGTTCCAAGCCCTGTCTGTACTGCCTTTTATAGTCAAGCTCTTCGAGGGGCCGAATATGACCACGGTCTCCATTTATTTTCTTCTCTGTCTCTGTGGAATCCAGTGGACATAACTGCCTGGTTCACCTCTGGTCAAGGTCACTGAGCAGCTTCACCTTGTCAAGTTCACGGGTCAGTTTTCAGCTTCCTGTGCTTCAGCCTCTCAGCAGTATTTGGCACTGCTGCCCATCACTCTTTGGGAGAACACTCTTTGAATTTTGCTCCAGGGATATACATCCACTGGCCATCTCTTTAGTTGCTGCTTCATGGTCACCTTTTTGGGTCCTGCTCTTAAAATCTCACTCTGGGCAGGGGCAGTGTGTATGGAAA